AAGAGAATTTAACAATCAAGAGTTTCTTTAGTTGGTAATCGTTTCAGAGTGCGAAGAGATCCAAGCGTGGCACTTCTGGACAAAATTCAAAACACTGTAAGGAAACTGTAAAATGACGAACAGCGAATATCTTTACCGTAAAACAGTTGACTATATGTCCAGGATGGCTCTTGAGAAGGACGATTTTAGAAGGTTTTCAGTGATCTGGGAATTTCGTGTGACAGGAAATTGGGTCGCGGCGCGCGTTGCATCAAAGTTGAAAATGAGCCTTCAATGTATTGATTATGGCTTCATGGTAACTCAAGTATTATAAATGATTTGTGACCTTTGGCGTAATGATCTCTGTCGTAGGTAAAGTATTAATAATGTGGTGGAGAGCAATTGAGGTATTTTGAATGATATTTTTAAGTCGTGTGTTGTTAAGAATGTATTGTTCGCGAGTTTATGTAACACAAGTGTATTAATCATTAATAATTAAAATAAGCCTATCTGTATCAATCAGCGAAAATGTACTCAAATTGTTAAAGGGGTACCCACGAGGCTGGGGTCATTTGCTCAAATGCTATTTGCTTTTTGGTGTGAAACCGATTTCAATCTTGATGTAACTAAAAATCATTGTAACAAAAATATATCACACTTGGCCTCTTTTTTGAAAGTGAGGGTTTTCCAAAATCTGAAAGTGCTTGTTCAAATGACCATAGCGAAACACAATCCTGGACATGCTTCCAAATAACAAGCTGCACGATTCTGGAGCTTCTGCAGATCATTCAGAAAGGCCAACACCACAGTTTCCTCAAAAAACATTACAATAATGGAAATGTTTTCGAATTTAACTATTATTCTACACATCTAACAAAACATTAAAAGGCATAAGATGCCATCATTGAATTTCACCCAAAACAGAAGCAATCTTTTTACAAATACTCTGTATGTGACATTCCCAATTTAAGTTTTAGTCAACAAGAACCCCAACTAACTTGGCAGATGAAACATGCATTACTAGATGGTTGTTTATCACGCAAGATGGAATTTCTGGACCTCTGGCTGGACACACTTAATCTAAACTCGGTTTTCGTTAAGTTGAGGGTCAGTTTATTAGCTGATAGCGATGTGTATACCCTAGTAAAATCAGTCATTAAAGATAGTCAACGATAGTTTTAAAGGTTAGGCTGTCATCTGCATACATTCTAGGTTGTGAAAAATGCAAGCAATTTGGCAGGTCATTGATATACAATGAGAACACTAAAAGTCCTTTAATAGTTCCCTGAGGGACACCATAATTGACTAATTTTGGAGTTGGCGGCATTAAGCACTTCAAAGTTGATTTGATTAGTCGATGAAAGTTTTACTAGTACACGGGATTAATTATGCCTGCAAATACCAAAAATGAAATGAAGAAATGCCTATCATTATTTAAACATAGGAAGATAAAAATGAATAAAAGGAACTTAAGATCTTTGCCGGTGATCAGAAAATAAAAAAGCTATAATTCATAAACAAAAGTGATATACTTCCTTTTCTTCGGTAAACTGCGCTAACTCCAAAAAAATCAATGCTATTTCTCAGTTGCCTAATTACTCGTATTTTTCACAGTGTTCGACAACCTTTCGGTGGCGATGAAATTATCTAGCTCTCGACTCGACTTGTCTTCGTCGTACTCGTCTTTCCCATTCATCCCTTCGTCTTCCCCCAAAATCTCCAAGAAACCAACTCAAAAGTCTGGTATGCCTACTTTTGAGTTGTTCTTTCTCTTCGTTGCGTACTTGCCCTTTTAATGTGTTTCAAATTTTTCAAGAGACAATTTGGCGATCAAAGTAAACTTTTGAACTGAGCGGGCCGTACAGTGAAATACGGCCAACTAGAAAGACCAATCTTACCATAGAAAATACAGCCAATCAGAATACAGTATATATTCAATTGTATTGCACTTACCCTTCCCATCGTGCGCTACGATCTTACACACGGCCTTACTCATTCTTATCAATTATGTGTCCATCAATTACAAGCTTCTATCTTCCCCCGGCAACTACCCGCGCATTTTGAACTTTTGAAGATTGGTTCGTTAAAATTCTCGCCCCCCCCCCTCCCTCCCACCCCACCCGGCAAAAATTGCGTTCAATTATCCCGACCGGGCACAATTTTTGAATAGAAAAATATGAGTGATCAAAGAATGTTGTAGAATTTAGAAAAAGGCAGGTATTAGTTTCTGCTTTCACAGTTTGGTCTTTTTCTCGTAAGCATTATTCTACCATGTGAAAATTTTCTTCAAAGCCATTTGCTCACGACAGTAGACTCTCCAATTTATACTAAAAACAAAAATGTTCCCCTGGTTTACCCGCCCCACTTGAACCCAGACGAGGTTCAAATTTCCCACCCCCAGGGTACAAACGATAGTCAAATGCCTGTGGGTTGCCCGAGGGGGGGATGTTGAAGCTTCGATTTCATCGGCGCATAAGGCCCCGGTTGCAATTATGGCCTAAATAGGGTGGAAAACACCTTCGTTGACAGCAGGCCTAATTTGAATCTGAAATAATATTTGTTTTTTTACCTAAGGCCATACTCAAATGAGTGATCATTACCTATGGGCGGCCGTCACCACCGAAAATAGAAGGATATCAAATAGATCAGCGAATACAAGGCTGGTCTAAGGATCTCTTATCGTTGCAAAAAAAAAAGTTATAAGAACTAATCCTGACACTTCCCAGTTTAACTGTGGATAACCAGTTTAATTAGGGATGTCCTTTGCAGTTTTAATTTGTGTTCGTATAGGAGAAACACACGCTGCTCATCAACGCAGCTGGCCAGCACATCATTCGTCATGTCTAATTATCTAACATTTAAAACAAACATTCAAAAAGTCTAGATATCGACAATAGAAGATTGATATTCATTCGCAAACTCAGTCCGTCAAGTGCTCTTTATCATATTTCTGTTCTTTTAAGCATAACCTCTATCTTCCCTATAACTCCAGTGCGCCTGACCATATTGACGACAACCTGACTTGCAATAGAGATAGAGTCTTCTGCTTGTTAATGAATGAATAGTAATTAAGCCAGAGATAACTTGGCCAGATGTTGCGTAAAACGAAACGGTTCAGTTTGCGTCTCGGGAATCTATCAATGAATTCGCCAGCTATGCTTTATATCAGCAATTTAACCCAGTCGGACCGTCCTGCACTATTTGCGCAACCAATTCAACTGGCTCGCCGATCTCTCCTCTACGTAACTGATTGGCCATCAAATATCCATTGCTTCGTCTCAACCGTTTTAATCTCAATACGCTTGTCAGTTTCTCATGAATATGTTCAAGCTTTTTTTACCCAACACAGTTATGGCTGGGAACAAAAAAGAGTATTATTGGAATAATTGTACGAAAATTAATAGATTTTTAACCAAAACGCCCACAACATAGCTTTGCATACTGTGTTTCTTAAATACTTTCTGCATGATTTTACCTTCTCTTTTCTCATAAGATAAAGTGTCACTACATGGTAATGAATTCATTTTCGAGCCGATTTCTGCCAGTTGGAATATTCTATGCGAGTTCATCGCCATATTCATCGAGCTTTTTTACGTTCAAAGAAGAATTTTAAAACAAAGTAGAAGAGGTTTAGAGTAGAGTAGCTTCTTTTATCCTCGCTATTCATTAAAGACATAAGGTGACATTTAAGTTAAATTTTACTAGTTCGTGTTTGGCTTCTCTCTCGATTAAGTGATCATGAATTTACAAACAAAAACTTGTAAAAAAATCAACTAGATTCATCTGTTATTTCTGTACGTGAATAGCATCTTTTGTTTTCCATGTTTGGGTACAAAAACATTTTAAGATCCTTCTGGTCTGGATGGAAGTATTCGAGATCATCTGCCTTAGTATTAATTTTTTAACTCCTTATAACAGATGTTTTTTACGTTACTGAGGGTCTTGATATCTCGACACACGACGCAGGAAAGAGCAAACATTACTTACTTTATGTAAAACAAGCCTTCTTGTATCATTTCATCAGTTTATCGATAGAGGCCAAACACGAGCAAAGAAAATATACCTTAAATGTGTCACCCATATTTTCTAATTAACAGCATGGATAAAAGAAGCCGCAAACTTCTCATTCCTTGTCAAAATAGACGAATTAAATATGCTAAAGAGCTCGCATGTACATACTGGTCGGCTAAAATTGCCGCGGAAATAAATTCATCGCCATGTGGTGAAGATTTACCTCACGTACTGTCTATCAACAACTTTCCCTCTCAGTCAGCCGATGAACTAAAAGCTACATCACATCCCCCCAAAATCTCGATAAAATAAAAAAACTCTTTCTTTACGTTTTTTAGGACTGAGACGAAGTCGAAGACCCTTAAAACAGAAAAAAAAGAGGCTATTATTCAGCTATCTTGACCGAAAAAGCTTGGGCAATAAGAGTTTATCATATAACAAAATGTTTCGCTTTGGTAAGAATCAAGACTGAATTATTTATTTCAAGAGCCAGTAAAGAAAGCCGAATGTGTTTTTGGCACACCAAACCAACAAGAAGATTTTATGTTTTCTTTGTTTTGACTGTCTCCTTCCGTTTTCTGGCGAGTTAATCACCGACGTTGCCCAAGAATTACGATACGTGTAAGTCCGCTCGGACTTGTGCACTTGTAAATGCTGCGATATTTTCACTGGATACAAAAGTTAAGACTGAAGTCAAAATTCTGCACCCACCCCACTTTTTTCTTTCAGTTTTTTTTTTTAAGTTCATTTGTTTATTTCCCATCTAATTTATTTGCTACCTAATTTATTTGCCACCTAATTTATTTGCTATCTAATATAAACAGCATTGTATGGCGTCACTTTTCTATTTTTTACTCTTTTGATTATCTCCAATCCGTACAAAGAGAAGGTTAAAACGTACAATGATTACAAGCAAATTTGAAGCAAACTATTCCAGTAACTCATCAGCTAACCATAAAATTGGTTTTGAGACAGTGGTAATTGCAAACTGCATCCTTAATGCACCTTTGATGTTGCTATCCATCATTGGTAACACTCTTGTGTTAGTCGCCATATTGAAGACGCCATCGCTTCGTTCACCTTCCGTCATTTTTCTCTGCAATTTGGCTCTTTCAGATCTTCTTGTGGGATTGGTGGTACAACCAGTTTATATGGTAGAACAAATGGTAAAAACTGTTCCAAAACTACAAGAAGCAGTAGGAGGAATGGGATTTGCTGGGTGCGGTGTCTCTCTCTCGACAATGACAGCCATAACAGTGGATCGTTTCTTAGCTCTCCACTATCACCTGCAGTACCCAAATTTAATGACAACAAGCCGGGCAATCTATACAATAGTAACTATTTGGTGTATCATCACGTTATTCTCTTTTTCAGTTCTTTGGTCGCCGCGTATTTATTATTTTCTTGTAGCTTTTTGTATCACAATTTGCCTTTTAGTTTGCTTGGTTTGTTTCATCAAGATTTACCGAATTGTTCGCCGGCATCAGGTGCAAATTCACGTTCAACAACAAGCAGTGGAAAATTCAACTGATACAAATAAACAGCAAATACGACAATCAACAAAGAGTGCGAAAAATATCTTCATATATTTCCTCGTCATGATTTTATGCTACACTCCATGGTTTTTTGTTTATATTATTTCAGCCATTAATAATTTAAACTTGATAGTTCTCCGGACCTTTCCGGTTACTGTAGTGTTCGTGAACTCGTCTATCAATCCATTTCTATATTGCTGGCGTATTCCCGAGCTCCGAACGACAGTTTTTAAAACAGCAAGGCTTTTATTTTGTAGAGAAATGGATTAAAGCGCTTCAACCTAGAAACAAGTCATTGTACAAAATCTAAATGTATTGTAGAAACAAAGTGTTCTAATCATTGTGACTCTTAAGGCTATGACATCATAAGATATTTCAATTCGTGTTTTCGCGTTGATCAACCATCAGGTGATCCTTCCCGTTTTAGCCGAAGATCTGCACGAACAAAACCGAAAAAGAAAGAAGCAAAAGAAATGCGGCGAATTATAGTTCCACTAGACAATAAGGGTGAGCATGGATTTTGAAAAGGGGAAAGTAACAAATGAATTTTCTGCTCTATAATTATATGTAGGCGCACTAATTTTCAACACTTTTAGCTCTAAACGTTATTGTGAGAGGACAACTTTTGTAATATTATATACTAAACATAAATGTGACACTTATAAAGCCTGTATCAAATACCTTGATAAGGTCTAAAAAAAAATCAGTTATAAGAACTAATCCTGACTCTCCCCAGTTTAACTGTGGATAACCAGTTTCATTAAGGATTTCCTTTGCGTGAAAATTGCAGTTTTGATTTTGGTTCGTATGGGAGAAACCCATGCTGCTCATCAACGCAGTTGGCCAGCACATCATTCATCATGCCTAGTTATTAAACATTTAAAACAAACATTCAAAAAATCTAGATATCGACAATAGAAGATTTATATTCGCTCGCAAACTCAATCCGTCAACTGCTCTTCATCATATTTCTGTTCTTTTAAGCATAACCGCTATCTTCCCTCGAACTCCAGTGCGCATGACCATGTTGATGACAACCTGACTTACAACAGAGATAAATCCTCCGCTTGTTAATGAATGCATAGTAACTAAGCCAAAGATGACTTGGCCAGATGTCGCATAAAATGAAGACGTTCAGTTTGCGTCTCGGGATTCCATCAATACATTCGCCAGCCATGGATTAATGGTTTTTTAAACAAATGAAGTTGTTACGGATTAAAGCCCACAACATTTTAACTTTGCATATTGTGTTTCTTAAATACTTTCTGCATGATTTTTTGCCTCACGTTTTCCTTATTTATTTTTTTTTTTTTTTTTTTTGAGTACCGCACGATTGCCGGGTCAAATAGAAGACTTAGCTCTTCGTTTAACTAAAAGCCAAAGTCGTCATAAGGTACCACATAGTAATGAATTCATTTTCACGCCGATTTCTGCCAGTCGGAATGCACTGTGTGAGTTCATTGGCATATTGATCGAGCTTTCTTTTTACGTTCAAAGAATAATTTTAGAACAATTTTAGTGTAGGGGTAGTTTAGGGTAGCTTCTTTTATCCTCGCTATTAGAGGAGACACATTTGAGTTAAATTTTACTAGTTCGTGTTTGCCTCACTTCTCAGTGAGTGATAATGAATTTACAAACAAACCAGTTAGATTCATCTGTTATTTTTGTACGTGGAAAGCATCTTTTGTTCTCCACCTTTGGGTAAACAAAAACCTTTATTTCAGGTCATGTACGTATTAGCAGAAAACAATTTTGAGATCCTTCTAGTCTGGATGAAAGTATTCGTAACAACTTGTAACACAGATGTTTTCTACTTAACTGAAGGTCTTAATTTCTCGACACGTCATACGGGGAAAAGCAAACATTCTCAAATTTATTTAAAGATAGTCTTCGTTTGTCAGTTCATCAGATTATCGAACAAATAAAACATAACTGAAACATGTCAACCATATTCTCTAATTCACAGCAGGGATAAAAAAAAACCAATTTACTTTAAACGTCCTCTCCTTCAGCTCAAACTCCTTATTCATTGTCAAAATAGACTAATTTAATATGCTAAAGAGCTCGCATGTACATACTGGTCGACTGAAATTGCCGCGGTAATAAATTAATCGCCATATGGTGAAAATTTACCTAACGTACCGTCTATCAACAACTTTCCCTCTCAGTCAACCGATGAACTGAAAGCTATAATTTACCCCAGCTACATTACATCCCTTTAAAATCTCTAGAGAATCAAGAGAAAACCTTACACAGAGTTTTAAAAAAAACATATTCTATCTGTAGTTGTAGCATTGTGGGTTATATTTATTGACTTTCCTTCCCTTTCAGTCTGGCTCCACAACAAGTTCATAAAGTCCTTATTTGTGATATTTTTTTTGGTTACTTGACAAACTCTGCCAAATTTGCGACAAACTTAAAGGCAAATTAAAAGTAAAGCAACAGAAGTAGAGCGATATATATTTCACGGCCAAATAAATATAGGAAAAGGACTACCACATCAATCAATAATGCATGATAGTTCGTGTTCAAATGCGCGTGATAGTAGAGACAATCGTCAGCTATCCTGACCGTTTGCCTATTGTTAAACTGAATGGCGTTAGCCTTAAATCTACTACTAACTACTGTCTCAAAACCACTCTTGGGGTTAGCTTCTGTGTTGCTGGAATAGTTCGCCTCAAATTTGCTTGTCATTATTGTGAAAATAATTGAAGGTTTTGCTCAGCGTTTGATGGAATATCTGATGGAAGGATAGTGATAACTCATTTGAATATGGCCTTAGGGAAAAAAACAAATACCATTTAAGAGTAAAATTGGGTTTCCAGTCAGAGAAGGTGTTTTCCACCTAATTCAGGCCATAATTATATCTGCAAGTAACCAAATGAATTCATGGCGTTATTTGTGCGTTAAAGTGAGTGATAGTTGCAAAAAGCGAACTGCTGAGTTTTTACGGTTTAGCATTGGAGGAAGTGATCCGCATTTCTTTTAATCATAGCAATGGGTCTTGTTTGTATGAATAAAAAAGGTCATAAATGAGATCGCAGTGCACATTGATAAGGGTGCGTACAATTCCGTGGAATATGCAAATAATTTCCTGTTTTCTCTTAAACTGTCTATTCTATGTTATGGTTTGAAAATTGTATTTCAAAAAGAAGCTGAAAACTACAAACAAGAGACACTAGAAACCTTAACTATAATTACAAAGTATAAAAGAATTTCATATCCAGAGGAAAACGATAACTTGCTGTCTTCGTTTCTCTTATTATTTCAATTTATATTCATCTGTTATCTTTGTACGTGTGTAGTTCCTTCTGTTTCTCAGTTTGAGTAAAAAGTCAATATATGCAGATTACCTGCAGATTAGCATAATAACATTTTGAGATCCCTCTCATTCGGTTGGATGTATTCGAGATGGTTTCAGTTTAGTTTGAATTTTGTTAACTGCCACAGACGTTTTACTTCTCAGTTAATATTCTCAATGTGTAGACACATGACTCAGAGAAAGACAACATTACTTAATGTCTTACTTTGTTTTCGTTTCTCAATTCTTCTTCACTCTATTAAGAGAGGAGCCATGCAAGGAGAATCAAAACTTAACCAGAAGAAGTTACTCTGCAATAACCTGCTCTCCTTTGTTTTTTAACTCTTCCTTCAACATTAAAATAGCTTGATAAATATGCCGATGAAAACGCACCGCGCAACCCGTTTGGCTGAAATTGACAAGGAAATAAATTCACGACCATATGGTAATATTATTTACTAAGTGACTGAGTGGGAGGGCCGCACGCGAAAATATTGGACCCAAGGTCACGAAGAAACCAAAGCAACAAACTTGCACTCTATTTGCAATTCTACTCGTGTTACAGCTTTGCACTCGTGTTATATGAAAAATGCACTCGTTTTCAGTCAATCAGACGCGCGTAATTTCTTTTATGTTTATTGTTACAAACGCAACCAAGAATTCGCACGCGAAGAACGTATCCGATGAACCTGCTTGCACATAGTTACACTATATGGCTTTAGGGTAATTCAGTGTTATCAACTGAGTTGATAACGTAAATTGGCCACCGTTAAGAGTTAAAAAGGCTGACGTTTCGAGCGTTAGCCCTTCGTCAGAGCCCTTCGTCAATCGTTCTAACGAAGGGCTAACGCTCGAAACGTCAGCCTTTTAACTCTTAACGGTGACCAATTTTCGTTCTCAACTCAGTTAATAACACTAAATTACCCTGTTATACTTTTCCACCGACGCAGCACCGTAGTTTCTTTAGAAACTTACCCCCTTTATTTATATGGCGTCGGCTTAGTTGACGACAGTAACTGGTTTGGTTTTATCAAGGCATTTGATGAAGGCTTCATGTGTTACATTCATTGAGAATATACAGTTTTTATTCATTTTCTTGACAATTGGAAGTTAAATTGTACTCTTTCAATGACATTTTAGAGCAATTAATGTTGAAAATCGTTGCACCCTCCAGGCTTTTTCTCATCGTTTAAGAGATTAATAATTCGTTACATTTCGCTTCCTTCAGTCCTCGTCAGTAATGTAAAGACCTTTGGCTGAGACCTTTCCAAACGATCACCTGCCGGTTGATCAACAGAGGATACGAATTCAAATGCCTCACGATGTCGTAACTGTCTGACAAAGCGTGAGGTCAAGATGGCCGGATATCACCCGACTTCTTCCTTTGCTTTTTTTATGGACCGAGACGAAACGGAGAAAAAAGAAGCTATTATTCAGCTATCTTGACCGAAAAAGCTTGGTCAATAAGGGTTTATCATACAGCAAAAATATTTCGCTTTGGTAAGAATCAAGACTGGATTATTTATTTCGAGAGCCAGGAGAGAAAGCCAAATGTGTTTTTAGCACACCAAACCAACGAGAAGATTTGATGTTTTCTTTGCTTTAATCGTATCCTGTCGTGTTTTTGCCAATTAATCACCGACGTTGCCTGAGAATTACGATACGAGTAAGTCCGCTCGGACTTGTGCACTTATAAATGCTGCGATATTTTCACGATATTATCACTTTATTCTCTTTTTCATTTACTCGGTCGCCGAGTTTTCATTACTTTCCTGCAGCCTTTTGTATCACAATTTGTTTTTTAGTTTGCTTGGTTTGTTTCATCAAGATTTACCGAATTGTTCATCGGCATCAGTTGCAAATTCACGTTCAACAACAAGCACTGGAAAATTCAACTGATACAAATAAACAGAAAATACGGCAATCAACAAAGAGTGCAAAAAGTATTTTCATATATTTCCTCTTCATGATTTTATGCAACACTCCATCATTTTTTGTTCATATTATTTCAGCCATAAATAATCTAAACTCGATAATTCTCTGGACCTTTCCGGTTACTGTAGTGTTCGTGAACTCGTCTATCAATCCATTTCTACATTGCTGGCTTATTCCCGAGCTCCGAACGGCAGTTTTTTAAACAGCGAGGCTTTTATCTTGTAGAGAAATGGATTAAACGTAAACTCAGTCCGTCAAGTGCTCTTCATCATATTTCTGTTCTTTTAAGCATAACCTCTTTCTTCCCCTCGAACTCCAGTCGTTTTTAACAGCGCTTGACCATGTTGACGACAACCCGACTAACAATAGAAATAGAGTCCTCCGCTTGCTAATGAATGCATAGTAATTAATTATAAGCCAAAGATAACTTGGCCAGATGTCGCATTAAACGAAAAGGTTCAGTTTGCGTCTTGGGACTCCATCAATATATTCGCCAGCCATGCTTTATATCAGCAATTTAATCCAATCGGACCGTCTTGCACTATTTGCGCAACCAACTGGTTCGCCGATCTCTCCTCTACATATTGGCCATCAAATATCCATTGCTTCATCTCAACCGTTTTAATTTCAATATGCTTGTCAGTTTCTCATGAATATGTTTAAGCTCTTTTTATCCAACACAGTTATGGCTGGGAACAAAAAAGAGTATTATCAGAGGCATGAACTTTACCAAGTCGTATAAAAGTTGATAGATTTTAAACCAAAACGAAGTCGTTACGGATAACAGCCCACAGCATAACTTTGCATATGGTGTTTCTTAAATACTTTCTGCATGATTTTTCCTTGCTTTTCTCTTGTTTTTTTACGTAGCGTACGATTTCCGTGGTCAAATAGAAGCGAACTGAACGCGAAAGTCGTTAAAGGACATCTCATGAGATAAAGTTTTACCACATGGTAATGAATTCATTTTCGAGCAGACTTCTGCCAGTCGGAATACACATTTCGAGTTCATTGCTTCATTGATCGAGCTTTTTTTTACGTTCAAAGAATAATTTTGAAACAAAGTAGAAGAGGTTTAGAGAAGAGTAGCTTCTTTTATCCTCGCTATTACTTAGAGACGTGGGTAACACATTTAAGTTAAATTTTACTAGTTCGTGTTTGGCTTCTCTCTTGATTAAGTGATCATGACTTTAAAAACAAAGACATGTTAAGAAATCAATTAGATTCATCTGTTATTTCTGTACGTGAATAGCATCTTCTGTTTTCCATGTTTTTTTTTTTTAATTTTTTAAAATTTTTTTTTCCTGTTTGGTTAGAAAAACATTTTAAGATCCTTATGGTCTGGATGGAAGTATTCGAGATCATTTGCCTTCGTCTTAATTCTTCAGCTGCTTACAACATATTTTTTTTTTACGTTACTGAGGGCCTTAGTGTCCCGAAACATGACAGGGAAAAGCAAACATTATTTACTTTATATAAAACAAGCCTTCGTGTGTCAGTTCATCAGTTTATCGATAGAGACCATAACTTAAATGTGTCACCCATATTCTCCAATTAACAGCATGGATAAAGAAAACAAATTTACTCTAAACGTCCTCTCCTTCAGCTCAAACTCCTCATTCAAAGTCAAAATAGACTAATATGCTAAGGAGCTCGTATGTACATACTAATCGGCTGAAATTGCCGCGGAAATAAATTCTTCGCCATGTGGTAAAAATTTACCTGACGTACTGTCTATCAACAACTTTCCCTCTCAGTCAACCGATGAACTGAAAGTCTTAATTTACCCCAGCTACATTATATCCCTTTAAAATCTCGAGAAAAATAAAAGAAAACCTGGCACAGAGTATCCAAAAAAAGACATTATATTCATAGTTGTAGCATTGTGGGTTATATTTATATATATTTTTCCGACCAAAGAATTGAAAAAGAGAATAACGTGATAATACACCAAATAGTTATTATTGTATAGATTACCCAGCTTGTTGTCATAATAAATACTTTCGGCATGATTTTGCCTCGCTTTCCTCTTGTTTTTTTACGTAACGTACGATTGCCGTGGTCAAATAGAAGACTTAGTTCTTCGTTTAACTGAAAGCGAAAGTCGTTGAAGGACATCTCATAGCATTAAGTATTACCACATAGTAATGAATTCATTTTCACGCCGTTTTCAGCCAGTCGGAATATACTATGCGAGTTCATTGCCATATTGACTGAGCTTTTTTTACGTTCGAAGAAGAATTTTACAACAGAGAAGAAGAGGTTTAGAGTTGAGTAGCTTCTTTTATCCTCGCTATTGATTAAAGACATAAGGTGACACATTTAAGTTAAATTTTACTAGTTCGTGTTTAGCTTCTCTCTCGATTGAGTGATCATGAATTTACAAACAAAAACATGTTAAAAAATCAATTAGATTCATCTGTTATTTCTGTACGCGAATAGCATCTTCTGTTTTACATGTTTGGGCAGAAAAACACTTTAAGATTCTTCTGGTCTAGATGGAAGTATTCGCGATCATTTGCCTTAGTTTTAATTTTTTAATTATATCCCTTTAAAACCTCGATATAAATAAAAGAAAACCTGGAGCAGAGTATTAAAAAAACATTATATTCATAGTCGTAGCATTGTGGTTTATATTTATTTGCTTTCATTCTCTTTTAAGTAACACTCTGGCTCCACAACGAGTTCATTGGATTAATCAACTTGACAAACTCTACAAAATTCATGACAAACTTAAAGGCAAATTAAAAACAAAGCACCAGAAATAGAGCGATATATATTTTACGGTCTAACTTTCATTTCTCTCCTTTCCCTCTTTTCACTTTAATGTTTAAGCTTTCGGCCAAAATCTTTGTTAAGGACCCCCCTTTTCGTGCTTAACTCAAGAATCTTATTGATACATGTGCGGGTGACAACGATCGGGGAACTTTGTTTTCTACTGAACCCTTATATTTTTTACAAGACCTTGCCAACGATTTGTTTCGATTTATTACTAGGTTAGAGCTCTTTCATCCGTTTGTCTGCAAGAAAAAAGCTTCATTGTTTTAAAAACTGCCGTTCTGAGCTCGGTCATTCGCCAACAATACAAAAATGGATTGATAGACGAGTTCATGAGTACAACAGTGAATGGGAAAGTCTGTAAAACTTTGAAGTCTACACCAGTAAAACCAGAAATAATTACAACAATTGAAAATGGAGAGTAACATAAAATCATCGCGAGGAAATATATAAATATATTTTTTGCACTCCTAGTTGATTGTCGTATGTGATGGTTTTTTGCATCAGTTGAATTTTCCACTGCTTGTTGTTGAACGTGAATTTGCAACTGATGCCGACGAACAATTTGGTAAATCTTGATGAAACAAATCAAGCAAACTAAAAGGCAAATTGTGATACAAAAAGCTGTCAGAAAATAATAAATACGCCGCGACCAAAGAATTGAAAAAGAGAATAACGTGATATTACACCAAAGAGTTACTATTGTATAGATTGCCCGGCTTGTTGTCATTAAATTTGGGTACTGCGAGTGATAGTGGAGAGCTAAGAAACGATCCACTGTTATGGCTGTTATCGTCCAAAGAGAGACACCACACATGGCAAATCCCATTGCTCCTACTGCTTCTGATAGTGTTGGAACGGTTCTTGCTATTTGTTCTGCTATATAAGTTGGTTGTACTACCAATCCCACCAGAAAATCTGTAACAGCCAAATTGCAGAGAAAAATGACGGACGGTGAACGAGTTGATGGCGTCCTCAATATGGCGACTAACACAAGAGCGTTACCAATGATGGATAGCAACATCAAAGGTGCATTGAGGATGCAGTTTGCAATAACTGCTGTCTGAAAACCACTCTTGGGGTTAGCTTCTGTGTTGTTGGAATAGTTCGCTTGAATTTTGTTTGTCATCATTGTGAAAATAATTGAAGGTTTTGTTTAGCGATTGATGGAATATCTGAGGGAAGGATAATAATTACTCATCTGATTATGGCCTTGGGGAAAAAAAAATAAATACTATTTTAGATTCAAATGGGGCCTGCTGTCAGCGAAGGCGTTTTCCACCTAATTCAGGTTGTAATTGTATCTGAAAATAAACCGCTGAATTCACGGCGTTATTTCCACTGTGAGGTGAGCGATAGCTGCAAAAAGCGATGGTTTAGTATTGGAGGAAGCGATCTGCATTTCTTTTAGTCGTAGCATTCATATTGATACGAACAAAATGTCATGAATAAGATCGCAGCGCAAATTGATAAGGGTAAGTGCAATTCCGTGGAATATGCAAATAACTTCCTGTTTTCTGTTTGACTGTAGATTCTATGGTATTGTCTGTAGTTTTCTGGTTCTTGAAGAACCAGAAAACTACAGACAATAGACTCAAGAAACATTAATTATATTTACAAAGAATAGAGGAAACTAATATCCAGAGAAAAACGATAACTTGCTGTCTTCGTTTCTCTTATTATTTTAATTTAGATTCATCTGTTATCTTTGTACGTGTGTAGTTTCTTCTGTTTCCCAGCTTGGGTAAAAATTCAATATATGCAGATTTTGTGCAGATCAGTAGAATAACATTTTGAGATCCCTCTTATTTGGTTGGAAGTATTTGAGATGGTTTCAGTTTAATTTGAATTTTGTAAACTTCCTATTACAGATGTTTTCTACTTTACTTTCTCAACTACAACTTCTTACCTCAACCTTTCAGCGGCACTTAGCTGTCACAGTAATTGCTGGTGACGAGTAAATTTGAAGCAACTACTCGAACAACACTAATAAAATATTAATCTGATTCTTAAGAATGTCATGATTTAATAACTCATTATGCTTCGACCAATCACCAGTATAACTTCTTCAACCTAACCGCTTTTTTTTAAACCCTCATCGGACTAGCGGTACAACCAGGCGACATCGGAAATTAAAAAGCATGAAGAGAAAAAATTTAATAATTTTTTAGTCTCGAAACAAAAATACTTATCCTTCCTTGCCAACCAAACAACTCTGACCTTGTGTGCCATTTTCCTTCGTAACCTAAAGTTGAGAAGGTATCAAAGAGATTAAAGTTTAATCTCTTTGAGAGTCCTTTGATCGAGAGGAAAGATAAAAGGAAAAAAATAAGGCTAAATATGGCTCCTTTAGATAGAAAGAAAAAGCCTGCATGAAGGAATGGAGAAGGAATCGAATGAATTCCTTGCTTCACAACAATATCTGGGTACATTTCAAACTCGATGATTTTACACAATCTTAATTATGAAATTTTCACCTGGGCCAGTCACGTAAACCTTTTCAATTTTCAAGAGGATTCAAAAAAGTGCTTCGTAAATATAATGACTTTTGATGCTGGAAATTACTCCTAAACTACCTAGAAAGAACGCCTGACGCCACCGAGTTAAAGAGTACTTGTAACCGCTGTTATTTACGTAAAAAACTTCCTTTTACCTGGATAATAGCTCTCGGAATTGTCTCTTGATTCAAGTGACCACTCGTCTTAAATTTTGAGTAGTTCGTTTGAAGAAAAGCCAGCATATATATCGTGGTACTGACCCTGCCAATCAATTAATCATTTACAGCCAGACACAAACGCAGTCTCAAGAGAATGCCTTTCACCATAATATTGTGTTTGTGCACAGAGGCTTTCTTTCCACGAACTCCAAACCCCTTTTAGCATCTCCAGTTCCCGAGGGTGAATACTGACAATCTTCTAAAAGGAGGTATCTTTTGCTTGTTAATGAAAGCATAGAAATTAAGCCATGTTCATTAGGTTACACAAAAAGGGAAAATATATATACCAATATATTGTTGTGTCTGATAACGGTATTGCTTCGAAATTGTACCGAACCCTACTGGGCATAATATCGACTTTGACATACTTATAAAGCAAAACCTGATGGAGCCAGTAACATCTCGTGCCCTTTGCAAGACATGCAAAAAGCTGTTTTCATTGCGACGACAAGATAAACCCCTATACTGAATATATTATTAATATATTATAACAGGTTGACGGACCAATACCTAGTATAAAGTAAAGAGGATCTCCCAGCACTCATAAAAGATAGGTTTTTGGCCACCAATTTGAATTCACTTTAAACGAGGACCTTAGCGAATAAAAGAGGGCAGGTGGAAATACACCTTATAAGTCAAAAGAGCTTATTGACGCTCTGAGGCAGCTCCATTTAAGAGCAGAGAGGCCAGAAGACAGTGTTAAAAATTCAGAAAAGTGGGAGGAGCAAGAATGGCTGATTCAATTGAAAGATACTTTTTTGGGAAAGGTAAAACTACTGAACCCATAGTTGTCCTAAACAGTGTCCTAAATGCTCCCTCTATGGTTATTTCCATTATTGGCAACATTTTGTTGCTCGTCGCCGTATTGAGAACGCCTTCGATCCGTTCGCCAAGCACAATTTTGCTGTGCAGCTTGGCCCTGTCTGACCTTCTTGTTGGAGTGGTAGTTCAATCACTGTACCTTGCTGCTTTCTTAAAAAGAAATCATTCTGTGCTAAACGCATCAAGAACATTGTCTTTTATTGCAAGTGGTGCTTCTTTATTCACTATGACAGCCATAGCAGTGGATCGGTTCTTAGCCCTTCACTATCACATGCGATACGCAGCGCTAATGACTACATGTCGCGCAAAGTATTCCCTAATGGCCCTCTGGACCGCTGCCGCCTTGTTATCAAGCTCAGGTTTCCTGAATAGGAATGTCTATGAATCCACTGTAGCTGTTTCTATCTCTATTTCCCTTTTTATTAGCACCATTTTTTACATCAGAATCTATAGTATTTCTCGACGGCATCAAAACCAGATTCACCTTCAACAACAGGCGGTGGAAAGAGTGAATATCCAACGGTTTTCTTCAAGGCTAGATTCAATGGAATCATCATTACCCACGCATGAGATATTCCATTAAGCGCCAAACAAAACTGCCAACAAAGAGAAGGTTAAAACGTACAATGATGACAAGCAAGTTTGAAGCAAACTATTCCAGTAATTCATCAGCTAACCCTAACATTGGTTTTGAGACAGTGGTAACTGTAAACTGCATCCTCAATGCACCTTTGATGTTGCTATCCATCATTGGCAACGCTCTTCTATTAGTCGCCATATTGAGGACGCCATCGATTCAACAAGTATGTGATGAAACAAGCCAAGCAAACTAAAAGGCAAATTGCGATAAAAAAGCTGCGAGAAAGTGATAAATACTCGGCGACAAAAGAAATAAAAACGAGAATAACGTGATAATACACCAAATAGTTAATATTGTATAGATTGCCCGGCTTGTTGTCATTAATTTTGGGTACTGCAGGTGACAGTGGAGAGCTAAGAAACGATCCACTGTTATGGCTGTCATCGTCCAAAGAGAGACACCGCACCCAGCAATACAATTTTTCTTACTGCTTTCTGTAGTGCTGGGACGGTTCTTACTATTAGTTTTGCTATATAAGCTGGTTCTACCCGCGAAGGTGTTTTCTACCTAATTCAGGCCATAATTTTATCTGCGAATAACCCTCTGAATTCACGGCGTTATTTATAGTTTGAGGTGAATAATAGCTGCATAAAGCGAAGCGTTAAATGACCATGGTTTAATATTTGGGGAAATGATCTGTATTTCTTTTAATCGTAGCATTCATATTAATATGAACAAAAACGGTCATGAATAAGATCGCAACGCACATTGGGCGGATGCGATTCCGTGGAATATGCAAATTATTTCCTTTTTATCTGATGACTGCAGATTCTATGGTATTGTTTGAAAATTGTATTTCAAAAAGAACCAAAAAAACTACAGACAATAGATTCTAGAAACCTTAATCATAATTAGAAAGAATAGAGGAAATTAATATCCAGAGAAAAACGATAATTTGCTGTCTTCGTTTTTCTTATTATTTTAATTTAGATTCATCTGTTATCTTAGTACGTATGAAGTTTCTTCTATTTCCCAGTTTGGGTAACAATTCAATATATGCAGATTTTGTGCAGATCAGTAGAATAAAATTTTGGAATCCTTCTTATCTGATTAAAAGTATTCGAGATCGTTTCATTTTAGTTTAAATTTTGTAAACTGCCTCTTACAGTTGTTTTCTAAAAAAGAGGCTATTATTCAGTTATCTTGACCGAAAAAGCTTGGTCGATAAAAGGTTTATCATATGGCAAAAATATTTCACTTTGGTAGGAATCAAGACTAAATTATTTATTTCGAGAGCCAGGAGAGAAAGCCAAAGGTGTTTTTGGCGCACCAAAACAACGAGAAGATTTAATTTTTTCTTTGTTTTGACTGACTCTTACCGGTTTTTTTGCAAATTAATCACCGACGTTGCCCAAGAATTATGATACGCGTAAGTCCGTTCGGACTTGTGCACAAGTAAATGCTGTGATATTTTCACGAAAAAAAAAGGTAACCAAATCAAAATTCTGCACCCACTCCACTTTTTTTTCAGTTTTTTTCTTAATCTCATTAATTTATTTGCTATCTAATATAAACAGTTGATATTCTTTTGTATGGCGTCACTTTTCTATTTTTAACTCTAACTTTTGATTATCTCCAATTCCTTGCAAACAAAGAGAAGGTTAAAACGCATAGTGATGACAAGCAAATTTGAAGTAAACTATTCCAGTAACTTATCAGCTAACCATAAAATTGGTTTTGAGACAGTGGTAATCGCAGACTGCATCCTCGATGCACCTTTGATGTTCCTATCCAACATTGGATATTGAAGACGCCATCGCTTCGTTTACCGTCCGTCATTTTTCTCTGCAATTTGGCTGTTTCAGATCTTCTGGTGGGATTAGTGGTACAACCAGTTTATATAGTAGAACAAATGGTAAGAATTGTTCCAAAACTACAAGAAGCAGTAGGAGCAATGAGATTTGCTGGGTGCGGTGTCTCTCTCTCGACAATGACAGCCATAACAGTGGATCGTTTCTTTGCTCTCCACTATCACCTGCAGCACCCATATTTAATGACAACAAGCCGGGCAATCTATACAATAATAACTATTAGGTGTATTATCACGTTATTCTCTTTTTCAATTCTTTGGTCGCCGCGTATTTATTATTTTCTTGTAGCTTTTTTATCACAATCTGCCTTTTGCTTTGCTTGGTTTGTTTTATCAAGATTTACCGAATTGTTCTCCGGCGTCAGTTGCAAATTCACGTTCGACAAAAAGCACTGGAAAATTCAACTGACACAAATAAACAGCAAATACGAAAAACAACTAAGAGTGCAAAAAATATCTTCATATATTTCCTCGTCATGATTTTATTCTACACTCCATTGTTTTTTGTTCATATTTTTTCAGCCATTAATAATTTAAACTCAAGAATTCTCTTGACCTTTCCGGTTACTTTAGCATTCATGAACTCGTCTATCAATCCATTTCTATATTGCTGCCGTAATACCCGGGCTCCGAACGGCAGTTTTTAAAACAGCAAGGCTTTTGTCTTGCAGAGAAATGGATTAAAGCGCTTCAACCTAGAAACAAGTCATTGTACAAAATCTAAATGTATTGTAGAAACAAAGTTCTCTTATCGTTGTGACTCTTAAGGCTATGACATCATAAGATATTTCAATTCGTATTTTCGCGTTGATCAACTATCAGGTGATCCTTTGGACCGTTTTAGCCGAAGATCTGTATGAAAATAGAAAAAAGATAGAGGGAAAAGAAATGCGGCGAATTATAGTTCCCATAGACAATAAGGGTTTGGAAAGGGGAAAGTAACAAATGAATTTTCTGCTTTATAATTATGTGAAGGTGCACTAATTTTCAACACTTTTAGCTCTAAATGTTAATGTGAGAGGACAACTTTTGTAATATTATATACTTAACATAAATGTCACACTCGTAAAGCCTGCATCAAAAGCCTTGATAAGGTCTAAAAAAAATCAGCAAAACAGCGCCTGACCATGTTGACGACAAGCTGACTTACATTAGAGATAGAGTCCTCCGCTTGTTAATGAATGCATAGTAATTAAGCCAAATATAACTTGCCCAGATTTTGCATGAAACGAAAAGGTTTAGTTTGCGTCTCGGGACTCCATCAATACATTCGCCAGCCATGCTTTATATCAGCAATTTAACCCAATCGGACTGTCTTGCACTATTTGCGCAACCAACTCAACTGGTTCGCCGATCTCTCCTCTACGTAATTGGCCATCAAATATTCATTGCTTCATCTGAACCGTTTTCATTTCAATTTGCTCGACAGTTTCTCATGAATATGTTCAAGCTTTTTTCATCCAACACAGTTATGGCTGGGAACATAAAGGATATTATTAGAATCAAAAACTTCACCAAATTGTGTGAAAAATTAATGGATTTTTAACCAAAATGAAGTCGTTACGAATAACAGTCCACAACATTACAACTTTGCATATTGTGTTTCTTAAATACTTTCTGCACGATTTTTCTTTGCTTTTCTCTTGCTATTTACATAACGTACGATTTCCGTGATCAAATAGAAGACTTAGTTCTTCGTTTAATTGAAAGCGAAAGTCGTCGAAGTACATCTCATAAGATACCACATGGTAATGATTCATTTTTACGCCAATCTCTGCCAGTCGGAATGCACTGTGTGAGTTCATTGACATATTTATCTAGCCTTTTTTACGTTCAAAGAAGAATTTTACAACAAATAAGAAGAGGTTTAGAGTAGAGTAGCTTCTTTCATCCTCGCTATTAATTAAAGAAATAAGGTGACACATTTCAATTAAATTTTACAAGTTCATGTTTGGCTTCTCTCTTGATTAAACAATCATGAATTTAAAAAAAAAAACATGTTAAGAAATCAATTAGATTCATCTGTTGTTTCTGTTCGTGAATAGCATCCTCTGTTTTCCATGTTTGGGTGAAAAAACATTTTGAGATCCTTCTGGTCTGAATGGAAGTATTCAAGATCATTTGCCTTAGTTTTAATTTTTCAACTTCTTCTAACAGACGCTTTTTGCGTTACTGAGGGTGTTAATGTCTCGACATACGACAAAGGGAAAAGCAAACATTATTCACTTTTCATAACGAAAGCTTCGAAAACTAAATTATCGTAGCACACCTGGCCTCAATTGATTTACACGTCTGACTTTATTATTCACTTCATTTAAAACAAGCCTTCGTTTGTCAGTTCATCAGTTTATCGATAGAGGCCAAACACGAACAAATAAAATATAACTTTAAATGTGTCGCCCATATTCTCTAATTAACAGCAGAGATAACAGAAACACATCACTACTATTAAAGTCCTCTCCTTCCACTCAAACTCTTCACTCCATGTCAAAATAGACTAATTGAATATACCAAAGCGCTCGTATGTATATAGTGGTCGGCTAAAATTACCGCGGAAATAAATTCATCGCCATATGGTGAAAATTTACCTAACGTTCTGTCTATCAAAAACTTTCCCTCTTAGTCAACCAATAAACTGAAAGTTTTAATTTACCCCAGCTACATTATATCCCTTTAAAATCTTGAGAAAAATAAGAGAAAACCTTGCACCGGGTATCAAGAAAAAACATACTATATTCATAGTTTTGGCATTGTGGGTTATATTTATTAACTTTCCTTCTTTTTCAAGTAACAGTCTGGCTCCACAACAAGTTCATAAAGTCCTTATTCGTGATACTTTTTTTTGATTAATCAACTTGACATGCTCTGTCAAATTCACGACAGACTTAAAGGCAAATTAAAAGTAAAGCAACAGAAGTAGAGCGATATATATTTCATGGCCAAATAAATATGGGGAAAAGACTACCACATTCATCGATGTTGATGTATGATAGTTCGCGTTAAAACGCACGTGATGCTTAAAACGATCATCAACTATCATGACCGTTTACCTATTGCTAAACTGAATGGCGTTAGCCTTAAATCCTCTTAACTGATGGTGTTTCCATTAGGCGTTTGTTGTATACCAAATAGGACTTTTTTCCTTTTTCCTAACCACTGAAAGCTTAATTTGTCCTCGAATAACACAATGTTGGAGCTAAAAGCATTAAACATCGCGACACCCTGATTTAAGTCAAGACACACGGAATTTTTTATTAGTTTCTTTCGCCGTTTCATTGTCAAAGGTCCCTCTTACCTTCGAAGGGATCTAAATTTCATTTCTCCTCTTTCCTTCTTTTTGCTTTAACGTTTAAGCTTTTGGCCATAATCTTTCTTAAGGACCTTGCTTTTCTTGCTTAACTCAAGAATACGATATATTGATACATGTGCGGGTTATAACGGTCGGGGAACTTTTTCTAATGAACTCTTAGATTTTGTACAAGACCTTGCGAAAGATTTGTTTCGATTTAGTTCTAGGTCAGAACTCTTTCATCCGTTTCTCTGCAAGAAAAAAGCCTCGCTGCTTTAAAAACTGCCGTTCTGAGCTCGGTCATACGCCAACAATACAAAAATGGATTGATAGACGAGTTCATGAGTACCACAGTGAATGAGAAAGTCGGTATAACTTTTAAATCCACACCAATAAAACCCGAAATAATTACAACAATCGAAAATGGAGAGTAACATAAAATCATCGCGAGGAAATATATAAAAATATTTTTTGCACTCCTAGTTGATTGTCGTATGTGATGGTTGTTTGTATCGTTGAATTTTCCACTGCTTGTTGTTGAATGTGAATTTGCAACTGATGCCGACGAACAATTCGGTGAATCTTGATGAAACAAACCAAGTTAACTGAAAGGAAAATTGTGATACTAAAGGCTGAAACAAAACAATGATAAATACTCGGCGACCAAATATATGAAAAAGTGAATAACATGATAATACACCAAATAGTTACTATTGTACAGATTGCCCGGCTTGTTGTCATTAAATTTGGGTACTGCAGATGATAGTGGAGAGCTAAGAAACGATCCACTGTTATGGCTGTCATCGTCCAAAGAGAGACACCGCACCCAGCAAATCCCATTGCTCTTACTGCTTTTGGTATTGCTGAGACGGTTCTTACTATTTGTTCTGCTATATAAGCTGGCTGTACCACCAATCCCACAAGTAGATCTGAAACAGCCAAATTGCAGAGAAAAATGACAGACGGTGAACGAATCGATGGTGTCCTCAATATGGCGACTAACACAAGAGCGTTACCAATGATGGATAGCAACATCAAAGGTGCATTGAGGATGCAGTTTGCTGTAACTACTGTCTCAAAACCACTCTTGGGGTTAGCTTCTGTGTTGCTGGAATAGTTCGCCTCAAATTTGCTTGTCATCATTGTGAAAATATTTGAAGGTTTTGTTCAGCGTTTGATAGAATATCTGATGGAAGGATAGTGATAACTCATTTGAATATGGCCTTGGGGAAAAAAACTATTTAAGAGTAAAATTGGGCCAAAATTGTATCTGCAAGTAACCTAATGAATTCACGACGTTATTTGTGATATTTGTTATAAGTGATCCGTATTTATTTTAATCATAGCAATGGGTCTTGTTAGTATGAATAAAAAAGATCATGAATAAGATCGCAGTGTACATTGATAAGGATGCGTGCAATTCCGTGGAATATGCAAATAATTTCCTATTTTCTCTTAAACTGTCTATTCTATGTTATGGTTTGAAAATTGTATTTCAAAAAGAAGCCGAAAACTACAAACAAGAGACTCTAGAAACCTTAACTATAATTACAAAGAATAAAAAAATTTAATATCCAGAGGAAAACGATAACTTACTGTTATATATATTTCGAATATAAACAGTTGATAATCTATTGTATGGCGTCACTTTTCTATTTTTAACTCTTTTGATTATCTCCAATCCGTGCAAACACAGACAAGGTTAAAACACACAATGATGACAAGCAAATATGAAGCGAACTATTCCAGTAACTCATCAGCTAACCATAAAATTGGTTTTGAGACAGTGGTAATTGCAAACTGCATCCTCAATGTACCTTTGATGTTGCTATCCATCATTGGTAACGCTCTTGTGTTAGTCGCCATATTGAGGACGCCATCGATTCGTTCACCGTCCGTCATTTTTCTCTGCAATTTGGCTGTTTCAGATCTTCTTGTGGGATTGGTGGTACAACCAGTTTATGTAGCAGCTGAAATAGCAAGAACCGTCCGAGCATTATCACAAGCAGCAGAAACAGTGGGATTTGCTGGGTGCGGCGTTTCCCTTGCGACGATGACAGCCATAACAGTGGATCGTTTCTTAGCTCTCCACTATCACCTGCAGTACCCAAATTTAATAACAACAAGCCGGGCAATCTGTACAATAATAACTATTAGGTGTATTATCATGTTATTCACTTTTTCAATTCTTTGGTCGCCGAGTATTTATTACTTTCTTGCAGCTTTTTGTAACACAATTTGCCTTTTAATTTGCTTGGTTTGTTTCATCAAGATTCACCGAATTATTCGTCGGCATCAGTTGCAAATTCACGTTCAACAACAAGCAGTGGACAATTTAACTGATACGAACAACAATCACATACGACAATCAACTAGGAGTGCAAAAAGTATTTTCATATATTTCCTAGTCATGATTTTATGCTACACTCCATTGTTTTTTGTTCATATTATTTCAGCTATTAATATTTCAAACTCGATAATTCTCTGAACCTTTCCGATTGCTGCAGCATTCATGAACTCGTCTATCAATCCATTTCTATATTGCTGGCGTATTCCCGAGCTCCGAACGGCAGTTTTTAAAACAGCAAGGCTTTTATCTTGTAGAGAAATGGAGAATAGCGCTTCAACCTAGAAACAAGTCATTGTACAAAATCTAAAAGTGTTGTAGAAACAAAGTTCTCTTATCGTTGTGACCCTTACAGCTATGACATCATAAGATATTTCAATTCATATTCTCGCGTTGATCAACTATCAGGTGATCCTTTGGACCGTTTTAGCCGAAGATCTGCACGAACAAAACCGAAAAAGAAAGTAGGAAAAGAAATGCGGCGAATTATAGTTCCCATAGACAATGAGGGTGAGCATGGATTTTGGAAAGGGGAAAGTAACAAATGAATTTTCTGCATTTTAATTATATGAAGGTGCACTAATTTCCAACACTTTTAACTCTAAATGTTATTGTGAGAGGACAACTTTTGTAATATTATATACTTAACATAAATGTGACACTTGTAAAGCCTGCATCAAATGCCTTGATAAGGTCTAAAAAATATCAGTTATAAGCACTAATCCTGACACTTCCCCGGTTTAACTGTAGATAACCATTTTCATTGGGGATATCCTTTGCGTGAAAATTGCGGCTTTAATTTTCGTTCGTATAGGAGAAACCCACGCTGCTCGTCAATGCAGCTGGCCAACACATCATTCGTCGTGTCTAATTTTCAAACATTTAAAACAAACATTCAAAAAGTCTAGATATCGACAATAGAAGATTGATATTCATTCGCAAACTCAGTCTGTCAACTGCTCTTCATCATATTTCTGTTCGTTTAAGCGTAACATCTTTCTTCCCCTCGAACTCCAGTAGTTTTTAACAGCGCCTGACCATGTTGACGACAACCTGATTAACAATAGAGATAGAGTCCTCCGCTTGTTAATGAATGCGTGGTAATTAAGTCAAAGATAACTTGACCAGATGTCGCATAAAACGAAAAGGTTCAGTTTGCATGTCGAGACTCCATTAATACTTTCGTCAGCCATGCTTTATATATATTTAACCCATTCGGACTGTCTTTCACTATTTGCGCAACCAATTCAACTGTCGCCGATCTCTCTTCTAAGTAATTGGCCATCAAATATCCATTGCTTCATCTCAACCGTTTTAATTTTAATATGCTTGTCAGTTTCTCATGAATATGTTCAAGCTTTTTTATCCAACACAGTTATAGCTGGGAACAAAAAAGAGTATTATCAGAAGTATGAACTTTACCAAATTGTATGAAAATTAATAGATTTTTATCCAAAATGAAGTCGCTATGGATAACAGCCCATGACTTTGCATATGGTGTTTCTTAAACACCTTCTGCATGATATTAGCTTGCCTTTCTCTTTTTTTTTTACGTAACACACGATTGCCGTGGTCAAATAGAAGACTTAGTTCTTCGTTTAACTGAAAGCGAAAGTCGTTGAAGGACATCTCACAAGATGAAGTATTATTACATGGTAATGATTTCATTTTCGAGCCGACTCCTGCCAGTCGGAATACACATTGCGAGTTCATTGCCACATTGATCGAGCTTTTTTTACGTTCAAAGAATAATTTTAAAACAATGTCGAAGAGGTTTACAGAAGAGTGGCTTCTTTTATCCCTTTTATACTTAAAGACGTAAGGCAACACATTTAAGTTAAATTTTACTAGTTCGTGTTTGGCTTCTCTCTCGATTATGTGATCATGAATTTACAAACAAAAACATGTTAAGAAATCAATTAGATTCATCTGTTATTTTCATACATGAATAGCATATGTTTTCCATGTTTGGGTAGAAAAAAATTTTTTAGATCCTTCTGGTATGGATGGAAGTATTCGAGATCATTTGCCTTAGTTTTAGTTTTTCAACTGCGTATACCAGATGTTTTCTTACGTTAAAGAGTGTCTTAATGTCTCGAAACATGATACAGGGAAAAGCAAACATTATTTATTTCATTTAAAACAAGCCTTCGTGTGTCAATTTATCAGTTTATCGATAGAGGCCATAACTTAAGTGTGTCACCCATATTCTCTACTTAACAGCAAGGGTAAAAGAAACCAATTTACTCTAAACGTCCTCTCCTTAAGCTCAAACTACTCATTCAATGTCAAAATAGACTAGCTGAATATGCTAAAGAGCTCGCATGTACATACTGGTCGTCTGAAATTGCCGCGGAAATAAATTCATCGCCATGTGGTGAAAATTTACCAAACGTACTGTCTATCAACAACTTTCTCTCTCAGTCAACCGATGAACTGAAATTTTTAATTTACCCCAGCTCCATTATATCCCTCTCGAGAAAAATAAGAGAAAACCTTGCAGAGAGTATTAAAAAAAACATATTATATTCATACTTTTGGCATTGTGGGTTATATTTATTGACTTTCCTTCTTTTTCAAGTAACAGTCTGGCTCCACAACAAGTTCATAAAGTCCTAATTCGTGATACTTTTTTGGATTAATCAACTTGACATGCTCTGTCAAGTTCACGACGAACTTAAAAGCAAATTCAAAATAAAGCAACAGAAGTAGAGCGATATATATTTCACGGCCAAATAAGTAAAGGGAAAAGACTACCACATTAATCGATGATAGTGCATGATAGTTCGCGTTCAAACGCACGTGATGGTTGAAACGATCATCAACTATCCTGACCGTTTGCCTATTGTTAAACTGAATGGCGTTAGACTTAAATCCTCTTAACTGATGATGTTTCCCTAAGGCGTTTTTCTTACACCAGATATGACTTTTTTTCCTTTTTCCTAATCACTGAAAGCTTAATTTGTCCCCGAACAATACAATGTTGGAGCGAAAAGCATTGAACATCGCGATACCCTGATTTAAATCACGACACACGGAATTTTATATCAGTTTCTTTCGCCGTTTTATTTTCAAAGGTCCCTCTTACCTTCGAGGGGATTTAAATTTCATTTCTCCTCTTTCCTTCTTTTTGCTTTAACGTTTAAGCTTTTGGCCAAAATCTTTCTTAAGCTATTCTTGCTTAACTCAAGAATACGATATATTGATACATTTGCGGGTTACAACGATCGGGGAACTTTTTCTGATGAACTCTTAGATTTTGTACAAGACCTTGCGAAAGATTTGTTTCGATCTGATTTAGTTCTAGGTTAGAACTATTTCATCCGTTTCTCTGCCAGAAAAAAGCCTCGCTGCTTTGAAAACTGCCTCTCTGAGCTCGGTCATACGCCAAAAATACAAAAATGGATTGACACATGACAAAGGGAAAAGCAAACATTATTCACTTTTCATGATAAAAGCTTGGAAAACTAAAATTATCATAGCACACCTGGCCTCAACGTCTGACTTTATTATTCACTTTATTTAAAACAACCCTTCGTTTGTCAGTCCATCAGTTTATCGATAGAGGCCAAACACGAACAAATAAAATATAACTTTAAATGTGTCGCCCATATTCTCTAATTAACAACAGAGATAAAAGAAACACATCACTACTATTAAAGTCCTCTCCTTCAGCTCAAACTCTTCACTCAATGTCAAAATAGACTAATTGAATATACTAAAGAGTTCGTATGTACATAGTGGTCGGCTGAAATTACCGCGGAAATAAATTCATCGCCATGTGGTGAAAATTTACCTAACGTTCTGTCTATCAACAACTTTCCCTCTCAGTCAACCAATAAAATGAAAGTTTTAATTTACCCCAGCTACATTATATCCCTTTAAAATCTTGAGAAAAATAAGAGAAAACCTTGCACGGGGTATCAAGAAAAAACATATTATATTCATAGTTTTGGCATTGTAGGTTATATTTATTAACTTTCCTTTTTTTTCAAGTAACAGTCTGGCTCCACAACAAGTTCATAAAGTCCTAATTCGTGATACTTTTTTTTGATTAATCAACTTGACATGCTCTGTCAAATTCACGACAAACTTAAAGGCAAATTAAAAGTAAAGCAACAGAAGTAGAGCGATATATATTTCATGGCCAAATAAATATGGGGAAAAGACTACCACATTCATCGATGATGATGTATGATAGTTCGCGTTCAAACGCACGTGATGGTTAAAACGATTATCAACTTTCATGACCGTTTACCTATTGTTAAACTGAATGGCGTTAGCCTTAAATCCTCTTAACTGATGGTGTTTCCAAAAGGCGTTTGTTGTATACCATATGAGACTTTTTTTCCTTTTTCCTAATCACTGAAAGCTTAATTTGTCCTCGAATAACACAATGTTGGAGCTAAAAGCATTAAACATCGCGATACCCTGATTTAAATCACGACACACGGAATTTTATATCAGTTTCTTTCGCCGTTTTATTGTCAAATGTCCCTTTTACCTTCGAAGGGATATAAATTCATTTCTCCTCTTTCCTTCTTTTTGCTTTAACGTTTAAGCTTTTGGCCAAAATCTTTCTTAAGGACCTTGCTCTTCTTGCTTAACTCAAGAATACGATATATTGATACATGCGCGGGTTTATAACGATCGGGGAACTTTTTCTAATAAACTCTTAGATTTTGTACAAGACCTTGCGAAAGATTTGTTTCGATTTAGTTCTAGGTCAGAACTCTTTCATCCGTTTATCTACAAGAAAAAAGCCTCGCTGTTTTAAAAACTGCCGATCTGAGCTCAGTCATACG